AGATGAGACAACCCGACCTTTACCTCCTCCACTCTGTCAGAGTGGCTAGAGAGCCTGACGCCCCTCTCCTAGCAGTCTGAGCCAGGCAGCCTTTCTGCTCTATGGGCAGGAGCTGTCTCTTTATTCTGCGTTTGTACAGCGCCTAGTGCAATGAGATGCTGTCCCACAACTGGGACTCCTAGGCAGTGCCACAATTCATTGTCAGGTAACAAGGTAAATTGCCATATTGAGACCCATTGTTCAATCTCCTCCTAAAGTCGGAGTCCTCCAAACAGTGGTGTGAAAAGGAAACCTCTGACTGGCCTTTCTCGGAGCTCTGCGACCTAGCAAGACAAGATTGTTAGCAAGTACGCTCTTGTCTTCCTGACATTTTCCTTCCCCAGTGACATCTTGCCCTGTCATAGCATACAGGGTTTCTGTGACTGCTTAATTCCACCAAGGGCATCTGTATATAAAATAGAACATGTACCGTAAAATTGCGAGAATAATATGCACCTGTGTATAATGTGCACCCTGACTTTAGAATCTTAGCATAATGAAAAAAAACTGAACTCCTATGTACAATGTGCACCCCATTGTACAGTAGAACAGGAGGTAACCTGTGTCTGAAGTCCAGAATTTCTTGGTCTCTACTAAACTGGAACACAACATTTGATTATCCTTAAACCAGATCTGAAGCTACAGGGAAACGCGTGCGCAGCCTGGAGAGCCGGCGGTGGAGTTTGAAACCTGCCCCCCACCCTCCCGGACAGCTGCCCAGGTGCTGAGGGCAGCAATATGGCCTGCCCCGCTGCGCCAGGAGCCAAACCACCAGCACCAAGCCCAGCCTCGCCTGCTTCCCGGAGGCTGCAGGAGAGCGGAAGGGAGGGACGTGCCACTTCTACCTACAGGCTCACCCAGGCAACACGCACGCAGCAGACAGCTTCCCACGTGCTGTGCCAAGCTCGTGCCTGCCGAGGGGACCCCCAGGGACCCCAGGTGCAGCCTGAAGGAGATTCGCACGCAGCAGACAGCTTCCCACGTGCCGTGCCAAGCTCGCACCTGCAGAGGGGACCCCCAGGGAGATTTGCTGCAGTGGGAAAGTTTCTGTGCGGAGGGGAGGGGGAGTTTAAAACTTAAAAAAATTGCTCCTATGTATAATGCGCACCCCGGCTTTGAGCCTAAAAAAACAGGGGGGAAAGAGCTCATTATATTTGCAATTTTACGGTACTCACACTCACGAGGAACTGCTACACCCAAAGGATTGCCCTTCTGGCTTGTCCCCACTTAACTACACAACCCAAAACCATCTCTCAGCTACAGTCTTTCTGACGGGCTGAGATGAACGGAACAATACTACTTGGAGATCGTAGATGCATTTGCTCTTTCAGCCAGGTGGGTCACTCTTAGGAAAACGTGAGGATTCTCTTCTCACAAGCCTGAGGCTGTCCACTCTGTTTTCACTGCGCTCCAAGACCATATAACTGAGATCGAGATCAGTAATTGCAGTCCAGCCCTGCAAATAGCAGTGCAATGCCTGATGGGGCAAATAATGAGGAAATAGCATCTGAATGAACATGCTGCAATGACGCCCGTATGTTGTATGGCCAGTGTGCATGTCATGCTGCTTATTTATAAAAGTATACAGCTCTTTACCCATCCACATTGGTTGTGATAACTGAAAGGAACACAGTCTGTGTACCGTGTTTAACAAACATATCTGAAGAGCTGACAGTCAAAAATGGGCACCGTCTATAAATAAAATGATTTCATTAAACAGACCCACCTTGATGCTATTTTACAACAGGAATTAAGAGATGTTTTTATCGATCCTGTCCAATCAGTATGTTATGCTATTACTTGTGAATTGATACAAATATCATCTGATCGCTTTTATGACTTTACTACATCAGTACATTTGGAATGTCCCTATTACATCTGTTTAATCAAGCTGTATTCCATCTGCCCCTTTGGCGTGGCGGTGAGAGGAGAATAAACTCAAGTTGCTAATAACGAGTAACCCGTTCATTTCCTGATCAAAGAGCTCACAGAGCATTTGAAGTTTAAAGCACATGAAGGTTTGTTTTGTTTCCTTTTTTTCCCCTTGCCTTTTGCAGAAAGAAAAGAAATTATTCCACTTTGTGGAAGCACTTTTGGGACTACTGAATTTCTACTATCCAACCTTGGGTTTTACGGTGTCTATAGAAGATTTTGTGTTTCCCACTGCATCATCCGCTTTTGCAAGGCTAGAGATTCAAAGCAGAGCTTGTTTTGTCCAAGTCAATCTAAAAATCCCAGGGACATGAACTTCTCAGCCTGCACCTCCGCAAAGATTCTGAATGCAACTCTGGACCGTCTCCGGAGGGAGCGGGATTCCAACAGGTCCTCGTATCTGGATGAACATGCCATGTATATGTTGCAAGAATGGATTATCTCCCCTCCGTATACAGACATGAAGATGTTCCTGATCCCTCCAATTGCCTGTCTTATGGCAGCCATCCTGGTAATTCCTTCCATCTTGTTTGTGATTTTCTCCAGCTTCAGCATTCGCCAGGAAACAAGGTACCTGCTGCTGGGAAATGCTTTGCTTTGCGATTTGATATACCTCATATTCTACACCCTCTTGGCAGTTCTCAACGGTGCGAACTTTATACTCTCCAACCATACCTGTGTGTTCCTGTTGTTCTTGTTGGCCGTGACTTACTGCGGGGGATTACTCACCGCTGCTGCCATGGTACTGGATATATCCTTGGCTATTTTGTTTCCTTTGCGCTATGTTACCATTTTGCCTTCTTCACGAACAAAAAAACTGATTGTACTCATATGGACCTCTTCCGGATTTTTCCCAGGGATTATCTACTTGGTGTTGATGGTGACTCAAAAGCCCCCACCGTGTCCCATAAAAACATGCTCTGTGCCAGTAATATTGGTCATGACCCTGCATGGAGATGATGCCGTGAAGCTCTGTTATGTGCTTTCAGTAACGGCCCTCTTTCTCTGCTTGGTTTTAATACATACTTGTTATATTGTCCTGTATTTGAAAACAAGACAGTCGGGTATATGGGAAAGCGTTTTCTCTAGAGCAAGCGTGACCTTCTTGATGCATCACACCATATTATTCTTTTACTTCTCTCCCCTGCTGGCCTTGGTGGTAGAAGCGTTACTCTACACCAACAACGTCATTGGGCTGCGCACAGGATTATGGATGGCTCTGACCATCTGCAATGTCCTGATGGTGCTGCCCAAAGCTTTGTCGCCATATCTGTACGGGCTTCGGTATAGGGAGATCGCGTCTTCTCTCAAGCTCATTTTCAGAATGAAGCGCCTTAGTATTGTGTCCCCCGTTGTAACGCCATGAGGCGAGGCAGAATGCACTGACACTAGAGTGAGTTCGAAAGGGCTGTGTTTGCCCTGTTGCAATAGGTAAGCATGTCACCGGCTACCTAGATCTTTACTGGTAGGTGTCCAAGGCATTGCTGTACCTGGGGTAGTCATACTGTCCCCTCACTGCCTGAGGGTTGTAGTATGGGCCCATACCCTGCGCTGCTCTGCATGTAGAACTAGAGCTTGTGCCATTGCTGGCAGCAGGGTCCTTTGGAGGAGACATTAAACCGAGGTCATTTCTGCCCATCTGCGGGGCTGTCACCATTAAAATTAAAGAGTCAGTGGCACAAAGACCAGTGGTACACCTTGGCTGCGTTGGCCAAAATTGCCCCTTGATAACATGTGCCCCCAAGTGTGTGACTGAGGAAACGTCTACACTGCAACAAAGCCCATGTTTGAACCCGGGGTCCAGTCCAACCCACCACTTGTATGTACACTGCAGTTGGGGTAACCCAGGGTTTTCACTCAGAGTCCCAGGATCCTGAGGGGTTGAAGAGTTCGACCTCGAGTTAAGGTGGGACTCAAGGTGTAGATGTAGCCCCACTTGATTCAGTCCTGGGAAGCATCCAGAAGTATCCCACAAATCCATGGGACAAGCAACCCACTCTATGGAAAATGGAAGTCACCCTACGGGGCAAACACCAGCAGCAGCTCAGGTCAGTGTTAGCTCTTTCTCTTCTGACCACCAGGCTGCAAACATACGCACATAGGGAACCTCCTGGGTTTGCAACGGGTTTGGCAGATTATTCAAGCTTCCTGGAATATGCAGGACAGGCAGTAAAATTTTCCCATAGTGCATCACTGTCTTACGGTTTCAGTAGCCACTCTTCAGAGGGTGGGTTACTTTGGCATGGGGCTGCACACTACAATGCGGACCCCAGAGCCATAGGATTAAGCATGGATTAGAAAAGTCTTAACATACGATTTCAATACAATGTAATTGCTCAATCCCAAGGTTCCTTAACACAGGTCAGCTGACTCAAGTCCACTAAGCCTGGCCTTCCATTGCAGTGTAGACGTACCCTGTGCATAATGCAGTTGCCTTCACCCCCGAGGAGTAACTGCACCACTGATACCCAGCTGTCTGCTTTGTAAAACACATTAGAACACTTTGGAAATAACACCTGCCGTATTCAGCGACAACCTCGGCGACTTCTCATGGGTCATGTCAGTGCATTATCAGTCAACTGGATTCATTCTGAAAATGTACAGAACAACTGTCCAGTGTGAAGTGGTTTCGGATCAGCATCTAGCAGACAGTAATCCATGTGCAATGATGCTCTGCAGCAGCCAGTCTGCCTTTTAATTCTTTTCTCAACTGAGAAGTGCACAGGTAGCGAACTACTGGATAAAATAAATGCAGGCTATTCAGATCTCTAGGGAAGCCAGTTCCTCTTAAGCCGGCAAGCGTTGGAGGGCAGTGTGGGGAAGCTCTGGTTATCAAACTCTGTGAAAAGCTTCTAGTGTTTTAAAAGTTGATGTCATTTGAGCTTACGTACACTATGATTTTTGAAAGGCTTTTTAAACTTTGTGCCTTGATTATGCTGTGTTCCATGTCGCTCTCAGTGTGCAGATTCTCCGCTTTCTGTAACTCTTTACCCGCAGGCAAAGAGAGAGCAGAAGGGTGGCTTTTTACAGCCAGAGACTCCAACTGCCAGGAGCAGACGCAGCCCAAGTAGAGAACTTTCCATAGTTTTTATTGGACTTCTGCCCTGTTCAAATTGCTTATTTGCTCCAACCTTTTCCCTCTCCTGGCCCCCTCCTTCACGTTCTCTTCACTTCTGCCCATCCCTCTTATCCTCTCTTCCCATCCCATTCCCTTTTCTTTCCATGTATTTGAGTCCCTCCTAACGTTAACCTTACACCAATCAAACAATAGTCAGAAGCTTCAGGGGGTAGCCGAGTTAGTCTGTACAGGATAAACTTTAAAAATAACAAAAGGCCTGGTAGCACTTGAGAGTATGTCTACACTTGCGCCCTACTTCGAACTAGGGATGCAAATGTAGGCATTCGAAATAGTCAGTGAAGTGGGGATTTAAATATCCCGTGCTTCATTAGCATGATCACTCCGGGGCATTACTCCGATAAATAGCTGTTTTGAAAGTGAAAGTGCGCACCAGGATGCGTTAGTTCAGTTTGATTCGAACTAACGCGACCCCGGCGTGCACTTTACCTGCAGGCAAAGATATTTAAATCCCCGCTTCATTGACTATTTCGAATGCCTACATTGAATCCCTAGTTCGAACTAGGGTGCAAGTGTAAATATACCCTTATAGACTAACAAAACACGTAGATGGTATCATGAGCTTTCGAGGGCACAGCCCACTTCTTCAGATGACAGGAGTGACATGTCATGTCATGACCGGACATCTGAAGAAGTGGACTGTGCCCACAAAAGCTCTTGATACCATCTACATGTTTTGTTAATCTATAAAGTGCTACCAGACCTTTTGTTGTTTAAGTCAATCAAACAATGTTTGTCATCCTATTGTTTACTCCACTTGTGTGTTGTAGCCCTTCCCTGACCTTGGGTCTGATGTGCCTGTTTTGGCAGTAAGCTCTTCGGAGAGGGCCATCTACAACTACCTAGCATCAGTCCCAGGCTTGGTGCCAAGACACAAACCATTGGCTAACCATAACTAAGAATAATAATTGTGGTGCCAATGGTTCTTGATGTCTGTGTAGAACCTGTTGTTAGTACTCTTCCTCTCCAAATGCAAACTAATGGTTCTTTTCAGCCTCTTTCAACTATCTAGTCTTTTAGGTGCTAATAGACTACCTGTTGTTTTTCAGTTTTTCCTGTTACAGACTGGCTCAGCTTTCCCTTTGCAACTTAGCTACCCACTGCCTCTTTTTCTTCCCCCCCCTCCAATTTTTCCTTCTCCCCCCTCCCTCCTTCCCACATTTATTCTTGGTTATGAACATCCAACACTCCAGTCATCTGAAGAAGTGGGCTGTGCCTATGAAAGCTCATGATACCATCTACATGTTTTGTTAGTCTTTAAAATGCTACCAGACTATTTGTTATTTTTTAAGTTTTTTTAAGTTACAGAATAACTCGGCTAATCTCTGAAGTTTAAGAATAATATGTGCTTTGCACTCACTTGGCACCTTTGCGAAGGACTGCGCCAAGGGTGAGTCAGTGGAATATCAGGCCCAAAGCATTTTGTAGTGAATCGATTATATGATATAACAGAGTTTCTTTTATTGATGGCTGCATATTTTGATTACAACTGAACTTAAAAAGTATTGTTCCTGTGCAAATCCCTAAACGCGTCAATAAAATGTGCCTCTCGTGCTTTCTGCTGTATGCTTTTATTTTTCCTTCGTTATAGACCCCATAGATGTTTATTGTACTAGTCACATTTGTGTGACTAGTAAATAAATATGGAACCAAATTCTTTAGTCATGTGAGCAGTAAGCGTCGGACAAATGTTTGATCTTCATATTAAGTGCACACTCGTGATTTTAAATCCGGATTTCCTGAAGACTAATATTAACAGAATCCAGGAGAGTGCCAAATAAGAGTGTGGTATTGAATGGGTTTTACTAAGAATCTGTGGAGAAGAGTTTTTCTCTCTAGCAGCAAATTGTTTTACTCTATTGGTTGTCTGGGTTTTTACAGTGGATTTTTATGGTGGTATATTAGCCCCCCCTCCCCCCCCCCTCATTGGAGAATTTTAACCTTTTCATAAGATTCCCTTGGGCTTTGCTATACATCACGGGTGGGCAATAATTTTTGCAGGGAGCCCCTTAATGAATTTTGCTATTAGGGTTGCCAGGTGTCTGGTTTTGAACCGGACAGTCCAGTATTTGAGCTTTCTGTTCGGGAAACAAATTGAGAAAATATAAATGAGAAAATATCAATGTTCGGTGTTTTCTAAATAAGATGTAATGCAGATTGTGATGTAATGTCAAGTGTGTCCGGTATTTTTGTTGCAACCATCTGGCAACCCTATGAATTGCTATGTGATCATGGGCCGGCTCCTCCCCCCAGAAGGGGCAGGGCTGGGGATTAGCCTCCCCCACAGAGTTGTCTGGGGCCAGAGGCTTTGAATTAAACACGTAGTAAAGGGTTCACAGTTAGTGTGTTGCCTGGCAGCTTCCTGGGGTTGCTGCGGCTATTTAAAAGGATCACGGCTCCAGCCCATACCAAGGTTGCGCCGCAACCAGGAGCCATTTACAGTAAATAGGATCCTGCTCCCTGAGCCACCTCCTAGAAATTCAGTGGCATGGGCAGCAGGATATAAATAGGAAGCGGCCAGATGCAGCCCGTGGGCAGGGTCAGTGTTAAGTGGGCCAGATCCGGCCCGTGGGTCGCATCTTGCCCAGCCTTGCTTGGCAGAATCCAATTCTGTGATTGACAGATAACACCAGTGTTTATTTTTGAGCATTTAATGGGTTTCAATTTTCAGAGCTGTGGAAAATTGGAGGAAAGGGTCAGACAATAATTATTTAATGACAGTAGATGGTGAGATTCAAAAAAATCAGAGCTTTATAACCATTAAAGCACAAAATGTGAACATCACAGGTCAAAATAGACAAAGTAAATAGCCTTAAACCAAAACTCTCCTAAGTTCTCCAGAAGCATTTCTCTTATTTTGCCTATCTGTAATGTTTTTTAGGGAAAAAATTTTTTCACCTGTGTGTGTGAGCGTGTGCATGTGTATGTGTACAGTGAAATTAGCAGTAAATCAGTAAAAATCAAACCCTTCTAAGACAAACGATAAATGAAGACCAGGCCTTTTGAAAAGCAAGGCCAACCAGCCCACCAACACACAGCTTGGCAGCATGGCTGGTGCCTGTCCCAGGGCAGTTTCACGGCAGTAGCTCCCACTCGTGGGAATTGGAAGGAGCAGCAGGATTTGGTTTTGCCTTTTCCACCTGCCACAAATGAAAATTGGCGCAATTCTGTGAGAAGCTGGAGTAGCTGGGGTGGAGGGACGTGTCATCGGAAGCAAAGGACTGTGGAAT